GTCTACGCAGCGCAGCCCCATAATTGAATACCGTAAGTTCAGAAAGGCTTAAATATTTGATTATATATCAAAACTTTGTTGTATATAGATAACGAAGAACGCATTCCCAAAAGCCTTTTAAACTTCCTGGAATCAAGACGCCATTTACCCGAACCGAAAATGAATTGTCAATTTTCCTATTAGTGAAATTCACGTGTACTGATTTCACCTCGTTAAGTTTTATATTCCACTTTCTAGTCCATTTTGAGATTTCATCACTGGCCCTTTGTAATTTTTGTGTAGATTCATTTTCATATCGCCCTATTGCGATAACTGCTGTATCATCAGCAAATGTAGCTGTTGTCACTCCTTCCGATTCAGGGATATCACACGTGTATAGCAAGTATAATATCGAGCCCAATATACTCCCCTAAGGTACCCCCGACCTGATATCCCCAAGCGAAGAGTACTCCTCTTCCTGTTTAACTCGAAATACGAGTACCCTATTAGTCAGGTAAGATTCAAGCAAGTCAACATACTGCCTTGGTTGTAAGTTTTTTTATTACTCCAAAATGGCAAACTTTATCTAAGGCCTGGGCTACGTCCACAAATATGATAGAACATATTGGTTTTTCTTCCAGTGAATTTTCTATTAGGTCAGTTATTTTATGAATCTGATCTATGGTTGAGTGGTTCCGGCGAAAGCCAAATTGATGATTCGGAATTAACCTTTTACTTTCAATTATAGCCTGAAGGCTTCTCAATAAAAGTTTCTCTAGCAGTTTTGAAATCATCGGCAACAATGAGATTGATCTATAAGAAGTCGCACTGTCTATATGTTTGCCAGGTTTGTGCAGCATGATTATCTCTGCAACTTTCCAAGTTTCAGGCAAGTAATTGAACCTTATACACGCATTTATTAGGCGCGTAAGAATCGTTATACCCCTTTTAGGTAATTTTTTCAAAATATCGGCCATTATTAGGTCAAATCCTGGGGCCTTTTTAGGTTTAAGAGTCCTGATTTCTTCTATAACATATCTTTCCTTGACAATTGGAACTGCTTTCCTCAAGAAAAGCAGATTCCTCATTTTCATACACGCGCTGGCTGTCGTGCGGGCAGAATATATCGGCCAAATGATCCGCAAACGCATTTGCCTTGTCCTTGTTAGTTTTTGCCCACATTCCATCTTTGTTTTTAATGGGAGCGAGATGTTTGATAGGTTGCTTCATTTTCTTTGTTGCCCTCCTTAGTGAGTAATTGGTTTTCTAACTTTCGAAATTTTAACTAAAATTTTGATTAAATATATTTTCGAGTTTTTTCCGCACTTTTCTGTACCGGCATGTCAGACAACATATCTGAGAAAATTGAGAGTTAACAAGTAAAAACTTTCAGTCGGTATAAACCGATTGAATTATACCCTGCACCTTTCGTTGTAGTATAGAAATTACTCGAACCTGTGAAACCATTCTATAGAAAATTCACGATATGTCTGACCTATAACTGGACACACAACTGCCAAGTTTCATGAATCTGACTTTATTATTTTTCCAAATATTTAAAATAAGCTTCTACACTTGTGTGGGAGGTGTTCGAACCTGTCAAACAATTCATACCAAAGCTTCAGAAATATATCTGGCATATAACTGGACTCTCAACTGGCAAGTTTCATGAATCTGACTTTATTATTTTTCCAAATATTTAATATTATATATTTTTTGTCTAAAATGCACGACTTAAAATAAAGTTAATAAAAATTTTATTAGATTTTAATTTAAGTTTTTAATTATTTGATTTTAAGTTTTATAATTATGAAAGTGCTTTTAAAATTTTATAATCGTTATAAACGATGCGTCGTTTCAAGTTGTGCTCCATATAAAAACAAACATAATAAAAACCAAGAAAAAATAGAGTTGACTGTATCAACTGTGTGATACCCGTACGAATTTGTTATTATATATTTGTTATGTGGGACTAAATATGCCATAGCTGACAATGGGACAGACTCTGACTTTAAAGTACCGTATTACCACATTAATCTATGAAAAATTTCAGTACTGTGTTTTCAATATTTTCTAAGATATGACCAAACTACTATTGAAGTTGTATGGCTGCTACCACAACGAGTCAAGAAATTTCAATGATTTTTATCACACATAACAGCCCAATAATACTTGTTTTCACGAGATTTCTATGTTATAATTCCAATAATTTCTGAGGTAATGCCAAATAGCTTTTGAAGTTGTATGGCAGCTATCAGAAGGAGCCAAGCAATTTCAATGTTCAAAATTTCAATACCACAACCTTTATAGTTTTTAAGATATAGTCAAATAAATTTTGAAGTTTTATGACAGCTACCCGAACCAGTAGCCCGATCATGTCCGATTTAAATAGGGTTCTGGTACTTACTACAATAAATCATTTGTGAAAATTTGCGATTTTCGAACATACCCAAGCAAAACCCTTCGAACATATGTTCGTACGGGTATAATTATAGAGAAACTTGTATAAGTTCTAAAGTTGATGATGCGGTGTTTTAGATAAATTAGCGAATTAGCCTTACTAACATTGTGCAAATAATTCCTAATAAAACTATAATCACATACTACCAAAAAAAATTATATGGACTTTTAATATAAAAAAAATTCACATATGCAGCAATTTTTATGAATTGTGAAGCATATAATATGTAAGTTTAATTATTAATATAGTATGCACATGAATAATAAATAGATATATATGTATGTGATTATATTAGAAGTATGCATTTTGGGAGATATATCATACAAAATTAGCAAACTCGTTAATAGTCACCTAAATCAAATAAATACTTCGAAAAAAAAAACACTATTATTTTTTTCCTGAAATGTAGCATTTATTAAAATCTTAAAAAAATGAACGGAACCTGGAAGGTTTTTTTTAAATCAATTTTTTAATGTTTCAATAACACAAAACTTTAAGAATGTAAGCACTAGTCAAGTAGAAAAAGATTGAACTTTTTCTAATTAAAAATTTGAAAAAAGTTGATCTTGTGGGAGATTTATGACGTTAAAAAGGGCCCTCTATAGATCCCATAAGAATACGTGTAAATTTGTCAGCTGTGAACTGTCACTCTCTCTTAGGGTCCAAGCCTGTATTTCTGTCAGCAGCGTCTAATACCCAAAATTTAAGAACTTCAATTATTACAAAAACAAAGAATATCATTGGTCATATAGAAAAAACAAAAAATATTATGGCATTATATGTTCAACGCCCTGATACTTTGTAATACTGTAACTATAACTTTGCTTGTTAAATCTGCAAGAAATAGAAATAAAATTTATATAACATATTATAAGTATGTAAAGTAATTAAACCGGGGTTAATTAAACTAATCCGTTATGAAAACAATATCTTCATTATTCTTAAAAAATCGGATCAGCAAAATTGTAAAAAAATTAACATGAATTTGCATTACAAAGAAAAAGCCATGCAAACTCACAAACATGTTTTTAATGTACCAAAGATATGTTAAAATAAAATTCAATTAAGTAAATAAAGAAATTTGGTATTTTAAAAAAGCTTCGTCATAATAGAAAATATTTTTGCTTTTGAATTATCTGTTAACAAAAATTACTAACACATATTTCTTTAATTTTTCAACCAACACATGTTTTCTTTGATTTTAAGTTATTCAAAATAAAATTGTATAAAATTGATTACATATTAAAATAAATCTGTTCACTTTGCAATGATTTTGAAGTGATTATCCAAAACAAAGCATTTGAAAATTGAGATCTGTTTAAGAGATGATTCACGTGGGAGAGTGGTTCGGCAACTTCATTTGTCAGCCCGGAGATATGTTTCGACATATCAGCTGTAGAGATAATCCGTAAAGTTCATCTCGTAGCTTATTGGAGGTGGAAATCAGATTCAACAAAATGAGAAGCATCAAAATAACTCGCTTCGTTACATCAGAAAAAAGAAAAAACCTGATGTGGTCAGGACATAAAAAACCGCAATGTGTATTGTTTAGTTAAGTGAAAGTGTTACAGAATATTATAAAAATGCCTGTTAAATACTAATTTCCAATTTTTAGGGAATTAGTAAGCTTATAGTTAGCATATATAGAAATATGTAAATTTGGCTTTTAGTTGAGTTTTGCTTTGTGCTACTCTAATTCCCTGAATTAGTTTCGGTAACAGCCAGAACTCAAACATCCATCAATTAGTTCGTAGATATGAAAAAACATGTAAAATGAGCCCTCAGATCAGTTTCCGAGCCCTGATTTTTTCAAAATCTATATTATATGTTCATTGTTTCAATACGAACAATTTAAATATTAAATTTCAATTAAATCGGTCAATTATTTCTCTTTATATACACAAAAATGTATATTTGGTCCGTATCAGTTGCTGACGCCTGATTTCTTCCAAAAGTTAGAAGTTTTCGCACACGGTCGGGCGAACCTTGTATATAAAATTTCAAGTAAATCTATTGAATATTTTCTTCATAATGGTCAAAAATGTAAGACAGGCCCGCTAAAAAGAGCAGTTTCCGAGGCCTGATATATCCCAAAAGTAGATCAGTCTGTGCCATAGTCAAAATAAACTTACATAAAAAATTTCGTCAAAATTGGTTCTGCCGAACTTGAGATCCACGAGTGCACACACAAACCGACAGACCGACAGGTTGCTAAAAATACTTTATTTACACTTTCTTACTATGGAGAAGTGGAGAAATCCCGCCGAAAACTCGATATGCAAAATTTGTTTCCATCACTTAACCTACCTATTGTATACACAATAAGGTCGGTAATAATTTCATTTTAGACAGTAGGTTTGGATTAGCAGAAAGTTTTTGAGTTTTTTTAACTCACAATAAAATTGAAAGTGATAAAATCTTGAAAATGCTGCAATAGAATAAAACTGAAAATAATAGTCGAAACACATTAAATAAAAAATGCAGTAGTACGTTGTATGATTGTATCTACGTATTTCTACGAAAGTTTTGAAAATATGTTCTTTTATAAGAATATTCTTACCTTTCTTAGAATACTTCCTGTGGTATACGTTTGCCCATTCAATCGCATCATTTTTGTAAATAATTTAGTATTAGTTAAATATTTTTATATTATTTTAATTAAAGATTCGACTATTTAAATTAATTTTTATGTTTAAATGTGTAACAATTTGTAAATTTTAATGAATTACATTAAAGATTGTGTTGTACAAAGTGTTGATTTAGCGCTATAGTTTTGTAAAAGTTCGTATAATTAGCTTTTTCTATATGTTAAATTTAAATTTACTTTTTAATAATTATGTTTTTTTTTTTAAACACATTTTCAACAAGTTTTGATATATTTAGAAACTAACTAACCATATACTAAATTATTTTTTTAATTTCACAAGATAATTTTAAGTTTACCTTCATATCAAATAAATGCTTTTAAATCACTTTTATAAATTAATTCAAATATGTTTTCGTGTCAAATACGAAAGTTTATAAATATTTTTTATAAATAACACGGTTATAATATTTGCGTTAACATAATTATTTTAAAAAATAGCTATGCCAAATTAACCGATTTGATTTTTATAATTGTTAAATTCGTTAATAATTCTTTGAAGTTAAAAACTGTTAGTAACAAAGTAATTTTATTTTTCTCTAATTTAAGGAATAAATTTTAAATCAATTTTCAAATTTAATTTGTTTTCTTATATTTGGATATTTGTTTATAATAAAAGCATGTATATACAAAAATATATGTATACATATATATTTACATGTGCATTTATATATACATTTGTGTGTATAATTTTTTTTTTAATTAAACAAAAAACATTTGAATAAATAAATGATAAAATTAATCTTGAAATATAAGCTGGTCTAGCTAAACAAGTTTTCACATCACATCATCACTTAAGTGCAAATATGAAATTAATTCAGAAACAATAATTATAAAAATAAAATCTAAAATAACATAAAAATAATTTTGACATATTATTAGGTAATTAAGTATTATTCAATTTTATAAGTTGTTCTCAAAGAAAGAATAATTTAAAATACTATAAATTTTTACTTATATGAGATCATTTTCAGGCTTACATCTTCACATTTTTTCAATAATGAACTCATATAAATTGCGAATTTTCATAAATTTCATAAACTTCAAACATTTTTTCCCAATGAGCAAATATTACAATAGACTTTTAAATCTTCTTTAATAAAATTTGCTTGAAGAGAATTTTCGGAATTTAATAAAGCTTAGAACCATACCTAATTTTTATAATAAAAACACTCAAATATTACCAAATAAAATCTATTGTTATTCTTGCTTATGAAAATGATTGATCATGATACGAAATCGATTTTTCAATATATTCATTTTCGAGCTACAGCCTGTACCAGATTTTTCTTGCATACAAATAAATGTCTATTACTTCGGAACCATTTATCAGAGAGTAACTATCAAAGGCTTGCTTTACAGATGATTGAATGTATGAAATTTGGATTTTTTGCATGTTTTTAAACACATTTAACAGGTGTTATTGGCAAAACTATCCGAGATAGAGGAAAATGTTACGCGGATTACTTTTTAGATCTCATTGTAGCGCGTTGAAAAAAAATAATAATAACAAAAATTTTCGAGTAATTTCGAGTCTTTTAAACAATATTTTAAAAAAAAGAACAAAAATTCTGAATTTGGCGAGCTTCACTTAACAGGTGTTACTGGCAAAACTATCCGAGATAGAGGAAAATGTTATGCGGATTACTTTTTAGATCTCATTGTAGCGCGTTGAAAAAAAAAAATAATAATAACACAAATTTTCAAGTAATTTCGAGTCTTTTAAGCAATATTTAAAAAAAAAAAAGAACAAAAATTCTGAATTTGGCGAGCTTCATAATCAAATTGATTGTAAGACAGAAAATAAATAGCAATCAATGTAAGGTTCGGAAGTAATTTATATTCCAGAAAAATATGGTAACTCTTTTTCCAACACGCTTTAGCTCGAAAACGAATATATCTGCACCAGCCGCCTCTCCACCATTTCATTTTTTTGCATTATATGTTCATACAAATACTAAATTGACTTTTCAAAATAATTTGAACAGAATATGTTAAAATTATTATCTTTAGAAAGTTATCGATATCTAATAAAATTTGAAGCTTTATGTTAGATGGTTTCGCGGTCGGTCTAGTGAAGCTTATATATAAAATTTCAAGTAAATTGGTTGGATATTTTCTTCAAAATGCTCAAAAATGTAAAACAGGCCCGCTAAAAAGTGCACTTCCCAAGACCTGATATATCCCAAAAGTTGATCATTAAAATTGGTTCAGCCGAACTTGAAATACACGCGTACACACACAGACAGACAAACCGACAGGTTACGAAGAGTAGTTTATTTACACTTCCCTACCATGGACAAGTGCATTCCCACCGAAAACTCGATATGCAAAATTTGTTGCCATCACATGACCTACCTATTGTATACACAATACGGTCGGTAAAAGCAGATGTCAACTTAATATGCATAATAGAAGACCGTAAAATTTTATGGTCATTGACAAAATTTTAATAAAATTATACTTTCAGCGTTTTTATTTTTGAAAAAATTGTTTTTTTTTCTCTTTTATTCGTCTGGTGTCCAGTCCGTAATTATAATAGTGTCATGAATCATTATTATTCTTAGTTACTATTTTTATTTCTTAATTCGCAAATCCATGTACTAACGATAACGTGAGTTATAAAAATAATTTCATGTCAACAATATTAATAAAATTTTTTTCATCACGACGTCATTGAAAGTAACTACTAAATATACATATGTATGTATATAAATTTCATCCAAAAATTTTTTTCTATAATCTATTTCTTCTTTTGTCGCACTCATAATATAATCAAAATGTTTTGATTTGATCTTTTAAATCATATCAGCAAACAAATATCCAAGAGAATACATGAACGAATATGGAAAGTATGCTCATAATATTTTTGATGGAAAATATCTTATACACGACAACACTGGATAATGTTATATTACATTTTAAATTCATGTAAATTGATATTTAATTTTTCATTATAAGTTAAAAAAACTTTACTGTGGTAAGTTTGTAGCCATTTCATTTTTAATTAAGATAAATAGAAAAAAATCATTTGGATATAATAATCGTCGTTATTTATAAAAATTTGTATTTATTGAAAAAATTATTTGAATGATATCAAATTTTTTTTTTTAAATTAGCAATAATTACTTATGAGTACATGAATAAATATAGGAACATACATAAGCATTTTAAGAAAAGTTTCCAAGATTTCAAAATTGCGGTACCCCATTTTACAACATTTCTTGTATTTTTACAACTCAGTCACAATTATAACTTACTTTTAACTCATTGTGTTCACATTTTAAGAAATAATAACTACACAAAGAAAGTGGATACAACATAAGCATGGTATGAGAATATTTATATATATTCTACATAATAAAAAGATTTGAAATAATGTTAGTTTTACCCAAAAACAGCTAATTTGAATTATAATAAAATGCGCTGTAATAAATAATTCCCTTAGTCAGTACGGTTTTTAATCAAATAGAACTTAATTGAAATAACAAGCACCTTAGAACACAGACCTTACGATATATAAAGTTATATGCAACTTCGCTTTATGTTCCGTTGCCTGCAAATAACTTTAAAACAATTTATTACCTTATCTTTGAAACTTATAATAATAAGATTTGCTTGAATAGCAATTAAATACTAGAAAAATAAACAATTAAATTTTATCAAAACAAAAACTTCAAACTATCTTATCAACATTTTAGCATTTTTGAAAATTTGTAATTTTATAACAAGTTTTTCGAAAGCTATCATAACTAAAGACACGTGTAGTAGTTAGTATAACTATTTCCAACACAATTCAAATTATTTAATTATGAAATAATAGAAAAAGTGAAAAATCACATTATATTTTCAGAACTTTGAAATAAATTTTGCCATGTGATATATACATATATAAGTAAATAACTTGAATCTATTAAAATTTTCATATTCACATAAGATATTTTAAAACTGATTTAAAAAAAAAGATTTAAACAAAAATGGAAAAACAATTTAGTAAGCCTAAATCAAATTTGTAAATTATAAATTAATTTTATAATTCAACACAAAATTGAATACAACGACGAAAAGCTTTTTTGTCAGCGTCTATTTTTATTTTTGGTATTCACAATTATTAAAATTTTCATGAACTCTTTCAACTCTGATTCAGTTTAGTAAACAACTGGTCGTTTAAGCGTCGCAATTAATATTTTGCATTAAAATAATGATAAATTAGCAATTTCTAATTAATGAAAATTGATTTGATTGCTAATGATAAATTAGCAATCAAATAATTGATAATTTTTTATTATTTATTAAATTTTAAATGTTTAAAACATTTTTAATTCTGTACATGATATAATTTGCACTTTATTTTTGTTTTTATTTTACAACAACTTAACTAAATGTCAAAAAATATCAATAACAATAGTTATTAAAGTACTTCGAAATTATTCGAAATTGATATACATACATACATTCGAAAACTAAAAAGTCATTGTTTTTAAACGTATTTTTTTATTTTTTTCAAAAAACATCGATCAAAACTTGAATAATATGTATGTAATTATATTTCTTCTTACTCTCATAATAACTTTGTTTATCATAACTTTTCCTTATATATGTACATAAGTATATAATTGTTTAAGTATATAATTCCTTATATACATAAGTATAGAAACACAAAAACCTATATTAATACGTCATATTTATATTTTTACATATGTGCATACATATATTAAATTTTTCCCGCTATTTATAAAATTAATTTTAAATAAAGACTTTAATAATTTTAAATTTCACAAAATATTCTAAAAATACTAACATTTTGTTGTTTTTAAGAAACAAAAATATTTTTTTACAGCTTTTTAAAATAAAATAAAAAAATTACTCGATTAGAAAACTTTTATACTTTACAATGGAAGAAATAAAATAATAACCATAAGAAAATAAGTGAACTATTTTTTTGCTTCAAATTTTGTTTGTTTTTACCGAAAAAATAAACAATCGCTCAAAGTAACAAAAACAAAAATAACCTCAGTTTTTTTTAAATACACAAAAAAAATATATAAATATTATTTTCCAAAATAAAGCTCGACATACAATCTCAACAAAGGTGTTTAAATGACTGAATTGTGCAATCTGTTTGAAATTTTGTATGATTTTCAACAATACTACAACA